CTGGGGTTGGAGGGTTCTGGTGTGTTCTTTAGGACAACTCCTCTCTCTGCCGGGTTTCCCAGGCCAGTCCTCCACTCTGGATTAGTACCGCTTCCTCTCGGCATTAAGCGGGGGTGGGGGGGTGGGGTGGGGTGGGGTGTGTGTGTGTGTGTGTGTGTGTGTGTGTGTTCCCTCGGTCCGATGAACTGCCTGAGAGTTTTAGCAGCAGAGCCTGGTTCTTTGGCTACGAAGGGAGAACATCTGTTGTGCTATCCTCAACTCAAAGGACAGGTCTTGGCAAAATGTGAAATCTGCGTTTGTCTTCAGGGGTCTATATTCAATCTTTGTCCCCCTTCCTGTAGGGTTTCCTCTCCACTTCAGGGCTTATTAAAATATGCTAACCACCTTTCTCTTACTCCATCTGATTTTGCCCTGGCTACCCCTTTAGGCACATACTCTCTGCCTGATTATGTGTGACCACTTAATCTTAAAATTCTAACCTTTCCTACCCAGCCCACCACAGTGTGTATTCCCCTTGCCTGCTTCATTTTCTCTTCTCTTGAGCATGTATTGTTTAGTGTACTGCATATTTTGTTTCTTTAGCTTGTTTCTTGAAAGTCTCCTCTACCAGAATGTAAGTTTCAGGAAGACAGATTTTTATCATTTGTTCTTTACTGTCCTTCTAGTGCCTACAGCCGCACAGTAAGTCCTTGATAACTCTTTTGAATTAACCCAATAAAGCAAGCTGCTTTATGCTAATGCACAAGTGGAGAGCAACTGCAAACATTTTGCAGCTGACAGTTGTAATGATGAGAGTCTCAAGTGAAGTTTGGGAGGAGGGAGATACTCCCGAGAGAAGGGACCCGATTTTGGCAGCCTTCAAAGACAAAAGTCTAGGCGGCTATCTCTTATGGCTGGTCTGTCGCTTCATACTCTTGGCACCTTGGCATCAGAGTGCACAAGGCATTTTTAGGGCCAATTGGCTCTCTCCTTTGGGCTTTGAGGCTTTGTCCCAATGTGTAGGTAGGAATTGTATCGAGTAAGGGAATAAGTTCACTTGTTAGCTGAATAGAAAAGTCATGGGAATGTTTAACCTAAAAGAGCTAAAATCAAGGGCAAGCTCTTGAAAGCTTTATACTGCACAAGTGTGATGCGTCCTGTTTCGGTAAGTATTTCTCAGAAACTTTGGGTCTTCAGAGGAATTTTTTTTTTTAATACCCAAATCCAAATTGTATTACTTTTTTTTTTCTTCTTTTTTTTGTGGCAGGGTCTCACTCTGTCTCCCAGGCTAGAGTGCAGTGGTGCAATCTAGGCTCACTGCACCCTCCACCTCCTGGGCTCAAGTGATTCTCGTGCCTCAGCCTCCTGACTAGCTGGGATAACAGGTGTGCACCACCACACCAGGCCAACTTGTGTATTTTTGGTAGAGACAGGGTTTCACATGTTGTCCAGGCTGGTCGAACTCCTGACCTCAAGTGATCGACACCCCCCTTGGCTTCCCAAGTGCTGGGATTACAAGTCATGAGCCACTGTGCCCAGCTGAAATCATATTACTTTATTTAAAAAAAAGTGGGCCAGGGAGGAGGAAGGTTAGGGGGTTTGATTTATAAATAAATTAGTGGGTCAGTTCAGAGAGACACCCTTTTGAATACATGTCCAGTATGAACTGTCTTGTAAGATATCTCTGCTAGTTAGTCTTATTCCAAAATAATTATTTTGAATATTTGGAAGAAGCAGTCGAGTGTCATACTGTCAGGCAAATCCGCTCTCACTATTTCTTCAGGCTTGTTTCCATGCAGATGCCCACAAACTTACTTCTAGTAATTATTTGTTTCTTTCACTCAGTTTATTTTTAGTGGTTTATTCTCTTGTATGGATTAACTAGTCAATTTAATTAGGGAATTGGTGTTTTCTAAAGAAATCTTTCTATTTTTTGGACCATATAAGCTAAAATCCTCTTGACAAGCCTCAGCTCACTTCCCACATGGGCAGTAGACAAAATTAGTGGGAATCCTGGAAAGTCGGGGATTGGCATCGTTCTGAAGCAGGAGCAGACATGTTGGTCACAAAGATATAAAACATATATCTTTGATTTCCTTCTGTCATTGATGACACCATACCTGGCACTCAATACCTGTTTGTAGAGGTGAACTCATCTAAACTCCTCCCTGATCACTCAATAATATGTGAACCCAACAACCTCTCATGTCATGGGCTGAATTCCCTTGTTTTATGTCATTTTTCCAGGTGGGGTGCTGTTCACATGGGGCCCTTTCTCCTTTTCCACCTCATTTTCCAGGTGTGAAACACTGGATGTTGATCACTCAGGGTCCTTTCTTTTTCTTTTTTTTTTTTTAAGATGGAGTTTCACTCTTGTTACCCAGGCTGGAGTGCAATGGCGCGATCTCGGCTTACCGCAACCTCCACCTCCTGGATTCAAGCAATTCTCCTGCCTCAGCCTCCTGAGTAGCTGGGACTACAGGCATGTGTCACCATGCTCAGGTAATATTTGCATTTTTAGTAGAGATGGGGTTTCACCATGTTGACCAGGATGGTCTTGATCTCTTGACCTCATGATCCACCTGCCTTGGCCTCCCAAAGTGCTGGGATTATAGGCATGAGCCACCGTGCCTGGCCAGTGTCCTTTCTTACAGAAAGAGATGGCCAAGGGCAGACCTGTGGTCCACAGATCAAATCCAAACTGCGGTGCAGTAAAATAAAAGCAGAGCTCAAGCCATAACAGGAGGCCTATAATAAAGACCATCTGAGAGCGCCCTATGACTGCAGAACACTGCTGTGTGTGTGGTTGCAGAGAAGGAAAAACTGCTTTGGTCCCACATCTCTTCCCAACATAGAGTTTGCATGAGGGTCTCATAAAGAGGGCTTATGCAGAAGACTCTGGGAAGAAATACAACCTTTACTCACTAGACTCAGGAGGGTCTTTGCAGATGGATGCTTGTGAAGCCTGAAGGTCTTGCAGGGTAGAGATCACCGGAACACCACAGGCTCTGCCTATGTTCTCAAAATAAGGAGCAATTCTAATTGCTCTGTGTCCACAACACTCTGGAAATAAAAGCCCCTTGATGCATATGTGTTTGGGCAGACCCTACGGCACCTTATTGACTGCACCTCTTTTGCCAAAGCACCTGGATAGATAATGGGTGGTAAAGTCTCAGGGTCCTTAGTTAGCATTTCTTAGGAGAACCACATTTGCTATTGAATGCTGCAGACAAGTGCTCTTCCTCAGGCTATCTTCCTTCTCAGCCCCCCTCCCCAAAGCCTGCAAGATTAACAAGATCATGCACCCAATAAAAGCACAGGAAGCTCAGAGCTCAATGTCAATGTGGATCACCTGTGCGGATCACCCCACTGGAGAGTGTGTTGGACCCCTGGACTCATGCTGTAAAATTCTACTCTTGTGTCTTTGTCTTTATTTCTTTTCTCACTCAGAGTGATTCTTCTGGAATGCAGATCTGATCAAGGTTCTTCCTGACTTCATTGCTGCCAAAGCTGCACATTGTCCTTGGGATAAAAGCCAAGGTTCTCCCGAAGCCCACGAACTTCAGCCATTGAACCTGCTCACTGCTCCAACCTTGCTTTCTGCCCCTGTGCTCCTTTCTCTCATCTTCACCATGAACTGCTAACAGTTCCCCAGACTCCCTGTGTGCTCTTTCTTCTGAGCCTGTGTTTGTGATACTGATTCCCTAGAAGATCTTTCCTGCCATTCACCTGGATTAACTGGGTTCCTCATCCAGGTCTCTATTTAGACATTGCATCCTCCTGGAAGCAGTTTTCCCACACTAATTACAGTAGCCTGCATTTAGCAGTTCTTTCAATCCTGTTGTGGAATCTTTGGTGTTTCACTCACTGAGGCCTAGGAGAGCCTGATGCATAGTCACTGCCTAATACAGGTTTGCTAAATAAATGTGGGGTCGACCATGAGAAACCACCTTACTCCTGCAAGAATGGGCATAATTAAAAAGTCAAAAAATAGTAGACGTTGGCATAGATATGGTGAAAAGAGAACACTTTTACACTGCTAGTGGTGAGAATATAAATTAGTACAGGCACTTTGGCAAAAAGTACGGATGTTCTGGAAAATCTTACCCAACAAGAAACCCAAGTGGCACTCAGGGGATCAGAGGAACACACTTTATTACACCAGCAGGCCCAGAAGGGTTCACACCCAGAAGTCTGGACCCCAGCTAAGAAAAGCACACAGTTTTTATAGGTAAAGGGGCAGCGGAAGTAACTCGGGACTTTAGACAACGCAGCAGGTTTTAGACGAAGTGGCAGTTTCCCTTAAGGCTTTCCAGTTAGTAAGCAATAAGCTGAGGTACAGAAGCAGAAAGAGGCAGTTACTAACAAAAATAGGGGCAGTTTTAAAATAGGGACGGCTGCTGACTACCTGCTGACAAAATCCTGGGCAAAATTTCCACTTCATCCCCCACTTTGATGCTCTCTTATGGTTATTAGGGAGCATCCCCTTTTACACCCTGGTGTCTGTACTTAGCGGCTTATACTCACAGAGGGCTAGTAACTGAGCACTTGGTTTTCTAATTACCATGACTTCAGGAAACTGCCAGAGTATGTTAATTAGGCAAGGGCCAAGATTATTAATAGCAAAACAGGAAGTGACATTTTACACCAGAAATGGACAAAGAATATCCCTCAAGGGAAGACAATAATGTCAGCACAACAGTAGAACAACAAATGCTGTCCAAGTATTAAGATTTCAGACCACATCTTGCTGGAGCATGATTTTCATGGGATGCCGAGGGTCTGGGCGCACAGACCACCTGTCCAGCGATGTGTCCGGGTGGGCCCTCTCTGCTCTGGAATAGTGTACCCACAGAACGACTCCTGTAACTTGCAGAACAGTTTGGATGACAAGGATTACAGCATGGGGCCCTGTCCAAACAGATTGGAGGGGTTCCTTTTTCCAATCTTTCACCTAGACCTGGTCCCCAAGTTGGAAGGGATGTACTGGATTAGCTAGGGAGAGGTGCTCTTTCTGTTACAAACTGACTGACCGGGGACAGCACTTTTCCCAGTGCCTGCAGCTGGGATGTCATGCTTGTTTCCCCTAGCTGTCTCAGGTCTAATGTTACTTTGTTAACGGGGCGGGGGGGGGAGCGGTGGCAGTGCTCCCGAATAGGATTTCAAAGGGTGAGTAGCCCACGGGTCCTGCTGTACACCATGATTGCAACAGGGCTAGGGGAATTATATCTACCCAGGAAGCCTGGGTTTCCTGACAGAGCTTTGCTAGTGTAACCTTCAGGGTTGGATTCATGTGCTCCACTTTCCCTGAACTTTGTGGCCTGTAGGCTGTATGAAGTTTCCACTTAATCTTGAGCACACTGGTGAGGGCTTGGATGATTTCTGCCACAAATGCTGGCCCATTGTCACTGTGTATGGTGGATGCTGTCCCATTGTCATTGTGTATGGTGAATGCTGGCCCACTGTCACTGTGTATGGTGGAATCCCATATCAGGGAACAATTTCACAAAATAGGACTTCCACTACTTCTCGGGCTCTTTCCATCTTAGTTGGCAGTGCCTCAGCCCAGCCTGAGTACGTACATACAAGGACCTGTAGGCATCTGTACCCTTTACTGGGCTTAATTTCAGTGAAGTCCACCTCTATGTCCTCAAAGGGGTAGACCCCCACCTGTTGCACCCCTGGGGCAGGTTTCAGTCACTGTGGGGGGGTTGCTTTTAGCACAGGTAAGGCACTGATTGCTTACTGCAGCAGAGTTTAGGGAGGGTTGCAATATAGTAATAGCTGTGGAGTAAGGTCTCCAGAGCAGTTTTACCTAGGTAGTGAGACCATGGTCCTGAGTAACGATGGTGTGAGCCAAGTTCCTGGGCACTATCGGTCTGTGGTCAGGGAGTAGCCACCATCCCCCAGCACTCTGCTTTCCCCCTCCTGCTGTGCCCACTGGTTTTCTTCCTTAGGGCACTCTGGCTTTCCCATATCCTCTTGGAGCCAAGGGGTGACTGAATAAGTGGGCAGGGTCCCGTACAGGTTCTTTCTGCAGTGCGGCTTCTTCTCTGTCAGCCAGACGGTTTCCTATAGAGATAAGATCAGTTCCTCTTTGGTGGCTTTTGCAATGCATGACAGCTACCCCTTTGGGCTTCCAAACTCCTTCCAGCAGTCTGAGAATTTCTTCCTTATTTTTGATTTCTTTTCCTCCTGCTATTAGCAGCCCTCTCTCCTTGTATATCACCCCATGTATGTGGACAGTTGCAAAGGCGTACTTGGACTCAGTGTGAATATTGGCCACTTTACCTTCTGCATGGCACAGGGCCTGAATGAGGGCATGTACTTCTGCCCATTGTGCTGACCAGCTGCTGGGCAAAGGGGCTGCCTCGACCACTTCAGTGGCAGTGGTGACTGCATACCCTGCATACCTCTTCCCATTTTGGACATAGCTGCTTCCATCAGTGAACAGGTTTAAGTCTGCCTTTGGAAGGGGACAGTCCTTCAGGTCTGGCAGACTAGTAAAGATTTCATCTACCACCTCCTCACAGTCTTGGTCTAGGGTCCCCTCCTCTGTGGGTAGAAATGTGGCTGGGTTGAGGCCACTGTCTCAATGGCGACCCGTGGGTTTTCATAGAGCAGCCCTTGGTAGTGGGTTAAACAAACATTTGAGAGCCACTGGTTCCCCTGACTGCTCATAAGGATGGACACTGAGTGAGGCACTTTGATATGGACAGTCTGGCCCAAGGTTAGCTTGTCAGCTTCCTTCATCAGAATAACTGTGGCAGCTAAGGCTCAGAGACAAGGGGGTCATTCTGATGCTACTGCATCCAACTGTTTAGACACATATGTTACTGGTCTCTGCCAAGGCCCAATGGTCTGGGTGAGGACCCCAAGTGCTATCTTCTTTCTATCCTGAATGAATAGATTGAATTCTCAGGTGACATCTGGAAGTCCTAGTGTTGGGGCACTTTGGAGCAGTGCCTTGATTTCCCAGAAAGCCATGTCTTGGCTACCACTCCCCTCAAGGGGTCCATAGTCGGGAATCCATATTCGGCAGAAGCCTGCCACCCCGAGAAACTCCCTGAGCTTCCACTTGGTATTGGGAGTGGGCGTGGAGCAAATCACCCTTTTTCTCTCTGGTCCAAAGGACCAGAGAACCCCAGGTATGAACCCCAGGTATCTCACCTGTCATCTGCAGATTTGGGCCTTAGCCATCCCTAGGGGCTTCATCTCTGCCCAGACTGCAGGGAAGGAGTCCAGGAATTCTGGTGGGATTTCCTCTGACCTCTCGGCAGTGTGCAGTTTTTATTCTTCCTCACGTGGAAGTGTGACTGCCCGGACCAGGCCCCATTTTGGCTCACTCAAAGTCAGACTGGCTGGCTCCCCTGGTTTAAAAGCAATTTGTGCCCTTAACAAGTCTCTTCCCAAAAGGGGAACAGGACATTCTGGTAGGTAGAGGAACTCATGGCATACCTGGTGCCCTCCTAATTGGCATATCCGATCTTGGCAGAACGGCCGGGGCTCTACTTGGTTGTCTGTTGCTCCCACAACAGTTGCCTTTCAGTTGCTAAATGGGGCAACCAGAGTGGTGATCATGAGTACTCTGCTCCAGTGTCTACTATAAAAGTCATTGGGTGGCCCCAGACCTTTATCCTGACGTGGGCTCTCAGGGGCCAAGTTTCACAGAGGTTGGCCCGTCCTAGTCTGAGTTCGTCCTGGACAAGGCAATCAGGTGGGCCTGGCTAGGTTCTGGCTGGTATTCTGCCCTCTCTTGGTGGGGGGTGCCCCACCCAGGACCATCTGTTTGGGGCACTTGTTCTTCCAATGTCCCACCTCTTTGCAGTATGCCCAGTGATGTAGCCACAAGGGAGGGTGCTCAGATCTCCCCTCTTTGTGTGGCAGGTGTGTCAGGCAAGGGTGGTGGGCTGGGGGCTGATGGTGCCAGAAGGACATAAAGCAGTGACAGCTCCTCCTTGGGGTCACCCTGATGAATTGGTTCCTTGGGTCCCTTAGTTGCTTGGGCCATGAGGACCTTGAACTGTCACTTATTTCCAGTGCAGAATTGAACACAAGGGGAAGGGTCTGAGCTATCTCCAACCAGGAGTCAATATATGGGATCTGGTCTGGGTGGCTGGGGTTGCTGGTCACAGCCTTCCAAACAGCCTATAGAGAGGTCCGGGGTGCCCTCTGGTCACCAGCCAATGCTAAGAACCAGCCACTCTGATCTGCAGAGGATCTTTAGCTTTTCTGGGGTCATTCTGACCCCATAATTTTCAGAAAAGCCCTTCCTGAAGTTTTTGACCATACAATATAGGACCATGGGCTTAGACTGACTTTTCCCCATGATGTGTGTCCCTTTCTGACCATTGGCACAAGATAGACAAAGGAGGGGGTGTCCCATGAAGGACCACTTGGTTTCCCACCTGGTCACATCCCTTGCAGGAACTTAGGTGCCTCTTAGCATCAGCAGGTCAGTATAATCCCCCAACTCGGATCGAGCTCAGCTCTCACTTAGCTCAATACTTCCATAAGCCTTATGAGGTCGCCACAGAATGGAGGTTCAAGGGTGGGCCCTTGAGCTCCCCATGCACTCACACACTCACTCAGATTATCACATTCCTACCCTGACTCAGGAAATCTGACTGCTGTCTCCAAATGGAGATCCAATCTCTCCTTCCACCTGTAGATGGGCCTGCCTAGGGTCAGATCCCAGGACCTTACCTTATTCAGAGTTCCCTTCAGTTCAGTCCATCTCCCCCGTGAGTTCGGCGAGTGGCAATGCCGGAGCAACTGCCGTTCTCCCTCCAGGAAAGAAGGCCCTGTAGAAGCTTATGGGGGGTCCCTGCCTTGTTTCCCAGTGGCGAACAGGCAAGCTATCTGTTCTTTCTGACCCCAAACCAGTGGCTCAAGGGGCCAGCACAGTTGGGTTTCCTGGTCAGGGAACAAAATGTTCTGGAAAATTTTACCTGATAAGAAACCAAAGCAGAACTCAGGGATCAGAGGAACACACTTTATTATGTCGGGGGGCCCAGAAGGGTTCACATCCAAAAGTCTGGACCCCAGCTAAGAAAAGTACACAGTTTTTATAGGTAAAGGGGCAGGGGAAGTAACTCAGGACTTTAGACAAAGCAGCACATTTTAGGCGACACAGCAGTTTCCCTTAAGGCTTTCGAGTTAGTAAGCAATAAGCTGAGGTACAGAAGCAGAAAGGGGCAATTACTAACAAAAATAGGGGCAGTTTTAAAATGGGGACAGTTACCCACTACGTGCTGACAAAATCCTGGGCCAAATTTCCACTTCATGGAGATTCCTTAAATATCTAAAACTGGATCTACCATTTGATCCAGCAACCCTATTACTGGGTATCTACCCAAAGGGGAGTAAATCATTATATGGAAAAGACGCATGCACGTGCATATCTAGGGCAGCACAATTCACAATTGCAAGGATATGGAGCCAACCTGAGTGACCATCAACCAGTGGGTGTATAAAAGAAATGTGGTGTAAATACACCATGGAACACTACTCGACCATAAAAAGGAATAAAATAATGGGTTATACAGCAACTTAGGTGGAGCTGGAGATTATTATTATTATAAGTGAAGTAACTCAGGGATGGAAAAACCAAATACTGAATGTTCTCACATATAAATGAGAGCTAAGCTATGAGGATGGAAAGACATACAAAGTGATATAATGGGCTGTGGGGACTTGTGGGGAGGTTGGGAAGAGGGTGAGGGATAAAAGACTATTTTGGGTACAGAGTACACTGCTCGGGTGATGGTGCACTAACATTTCAGAATTCACTACTAAAGAACTCTAAATGTAACCAAAAACTACCTGCCCCCCCAAAACTATGGAAATTTAAAAAAATTAATAAATATGGGGCTGATTTGCAATTCAAAATTTAGTTTGAATGGCTAATACAAGATTTAACCTCTTACAGTTCTGGAGGTGTGAAGTCAAAAATGGGTCACTAGGGGCTAAAGTTAATGTGTCATCAGAGCTGCATTTCTTCTGAGGCCCTAAGGGAAAATTGTTTCCTCACCATTTCCAGCTTCTTGGGGCTGCCTGCATTCCTTGGCTCTTGGTCCTTTCCTCCATATTCCAAGTCAGCAGTCACATCATTTCGACCTCTGATTGTGTTGTCACATCTCTAACTCTGATGCTGTCTTTACTCCTTTCACTTATAAGGTCTGTTGTGATTACATTGAAGCTTCCTTCAATCCAGGATAATCTTCCCATCTCAGGAGCTGCAGCTTAATCACATCTGAAAAGTTACTTCTGCCCTATTAGAAGACGTTTCTATAAATTTCAGGACACAGATACGTTTAGGAGACCATTATTCTGCCTGTCACATGACTTTGTCAATATTTGCTACCCCTGGTTTCCAAACATTAGTGTATGCTCTTATTTCTACATTACACACTTTATTCCTGAAATACCAGATGAGTCTATTTGTCTGATACAGGGAAACGGCTCACTACCCCCAAGAAGAGCTCAAGAAATTTCTATTTTCTCAAAGCCTACAACAAATTGTACTGATTCTTCAATGTGCATTGGCTGTAAATTAGTCAATAATCTTGCTGGGATGTTGGAGGGAGAAGAAAGGAAATGACTAGACAGCCCTTCTGATTCTGTCCCATGTCCCTGATGGCTGGTCATGTTGGGCGATAAGACATTTTCCCTCCCACGCCTGTAATTCCAGCACTTTGGGAGGCCGAGGCGGGTGGATCACGAGGTCAAGAGATCAAGACCATCCTGGTCAACATGGTGAAACCCCGTCTCTACTAAAAATACAAAAAATTAGCTGGGCATGGTGGCGCATGCCTGTAATCCCAGCTACTTGGGAGGCTGAGGCAGGAGAATTGCCTGAACCCAGGAGGCGGAGGTTGCGGTGAGCCGAGATCGCGCCATTGCATTCCAGCCTGGGTAACGAGTGAAACTCCATCTCAATTAAAAAAAAAAAAAAAAAGTTTCCCTCCCATGTAGACGTGGTCATTTCTGACTCCCCAAGAGGTTTTCACAGTATTAATGTCCACTTCATGCATCAGTTATCTTCTTGTCATCTATCTCCACGTTTACATTTTTCTTCTCTTCTCCCACTATAGTCCTGTCTTGATTCTTCAGCCATTGCCTTCCTTTTACATGCATGTGCTTCAGCCAATTCTCTAGGAAGACATTTGAGATAGCTCTTTATCATTTGTTACTATGTTTATTTGACTGAAGAGTTTTCAAGATTCTTAACTTTCTATTTTTAAAATTTTACCGTAAAAGTAATTCATGCTCACCATAGGAAATGAAACAACCAAAATATGCATAAATATACTTTCAAATCTCTCCTATCACTAAATCCAAATTCACTTTACTAAGATAATTACTATTATCTCAGCCTACTCTCTGTGTGTCTACTTTCTTCGCTTGCATGCAAACCTTATTGGTAGCTTTTTTGAGCAAAAGACTACAAATTTTACATGTAATTTAATAATTTTAAGGACCACATGAGATATTACTTAAATGGCATAAAATCCACATATTGAAAATATACAATTCAGTGGTTTTCAGAATATTCACAGTTGTGCGTCCATTACCACAGTCAATTACAGATCACATTCCTCTCCTTCCAGCTCAGGAGAAAAATCCACATTCAAATCCCTAACCCTAAGAAGTTATCAACCTATGTTTTAGCTCTTCAGATTTACCTTTTCTGAACATTTTATGTAATAAAGTTATACAATATGCGGTCTTTTGTGTCTGTCTTATTTCACTTATCGTAAAATTTTCAAAGTTTGTGTGGGTTGTAGCTTGTATCAGTGCTTCATATCTTTTTTATTGCTTAATTATATTTCTGTATGAATGTATCACAATTTGTTTATTAGTTGGTTACATTTTGGTCCTCATTTTGGATTATTACTGATAATCCTGCTATAAACATTTTGTATAGGTTTTTATGTGAATTTGTGTTCTCATGTCTCTTGGGTATACTCTATACATGGGAGGGGATTGCTGGATCATACAATAACTTAATGTTCAACATTTTGAACAACAGCTGGCCTGCTCTCTAAAGGGGCTATGTCACTTAAATTCTCACCAGCAAAGTGTGAGTGTTCTAGTATCTCCACATTCTCATAAATACTAATTATTATCTTTTCAATTATAGCCATGCTAGTGGGTGGGGAATAGTAACTCAGTTTCAGGTTGATGTATATTTCCCTGATGGTTGATGATATTGAATATGTTTCTATGTGCTTATAGGCCTTTTGTGTATTATTTGTCTTTTGATTATTATTTTATTATTACTAACATTATATTGAGTTACAGTCATTCTTTCTATATACTAGATACAAGTCATTTCCTTACCAGATGTAAGATTTGCAAAAATTCTCTCCCTTTCAATGAGTTGCTTTTCACTTTCTTGGTGGTGTCCTTAGACACACACACTTTCAATTTTTATGATGTTCAGATTTTTGAATTTCCTTTTATTGCTTGTGCCTTTGGTATCATTTAAGATCAGATAGTTGTACCTAATCCAAAGTCATAAGGATTTATGCCTACATTTTCTTTTAAGACCTTTCTAGTGTTAAGTCTCATATTTAGGTCTCTGATACACTTTCAGGTAATTTTTATATATGGTGTGAAGTAGGGATCCAGCTTTATTCTTTTGCATATGAATAGCCTGTTGTCTCAGCATCATTTGATGGACAGATAATTTCTTCCCCCACTGAATTATATTAGCACCATTTACAAAAACCAATTAAGCGTGAAAGTGAAGAGTATTGCTGGACCCTCAATTTCAGTCCATTTTGTTCTTTTTAATGCTGTTGTAAGTTGTATTTTTTAATAACGTTTTTGTTAATGAATTGATACTCTACAGAAACAATTTTTGTGTTTTTATTTTGCATTCTATCAATGTGCTAAACTCATTTAGTATTAGTAGTTTAGTAGTCGCTAAACTTGTTTTTAGTGAATTCTTTTGTATTTCTATATATAGATTTAATCATCTGCAATTGACATAGTTTTACCTCTTCCTTTTTAACCTAGATTTTATTTTATCTTATTTCTCATTTAACCTTTTAAAAATTACATTATTGTATTTGCAGTGCCCTACCATTTGATGTGTTTATTTCTATTATATCATGAACATTTTTGAATTTCACAGAAAAAAGTTTCATGCATCATTTTATTGATATTCCATAGTATCTTATATGCACCTGCTCTGCTGGGGTAAATATTTAGGTGGTTTTCTTTATTTGTCACCCACTCTACAGACATCCCAGACTTTTCTAATTTCTCACAGCATCAGTGGTTAAAGTAATTACCTGTCTGACTAGGTGTACACAATGACTGACAATTCCATTGCTGCTGTGTGTAATTTAAGATCAACAACTACATTTGGAACTCAGATCGTCTAGGCCCAGCTACACTTAGTCTTTCTTAGTCTCAGAGATTCCCTCTCTGCCTGTTAATTTCTCGATCCCTAAAACTACCCTTGTACTCCAGCCCAAAATGTTTCCTAGCCCAGTAGTCTTGGATCTACCACTTGCTAACTAGAAGGTGTCATCTCAGAAGGTAAGTAAGGAATTTATCTCCATTCACTTTCTATTTGCTTATCATATCTCCATGTAGCTCAGGTAGATTGAGCTGAAAACATTCTTGTGTTTAGTAATGTGGCCAAAAGTGTAAAACATTCTAAGGGACTTGTAAACTATAAAGGTAAAACATGTATGCTTCTGCATGCAGCATACATGTTAAATTCTATTGAAGAGGGAGACCCAGGCATTTCAGATCAACTTCCCTTTTTCATTTCTAAGACTGTAAACTGAAATCCTTTTCATATGTAATCCCTGAGACTGTAAACCAAGTTCCTTTTCATACGTAATTCCTAAGGCTGTAAACCAAAACCCTTTTCATATGTAATTCCTGAGACTGTAAACCAAGACCCTTTTCATATGTTAAGCTGTAAACCTAAGATTCTTCCATGTGTAACCTCTGAAGTATAAGCCTATATAAAGATGGAACCTTCTTTTGTTAGGGGAGCTTGGCTCTTAGGCAACTATGCCACGTTGCTCCCGGCTGAATAAACCGTCCTTCCTCCTGTATTCGGTGTCCCAGAGATCCTTTTCCCATGGCCGCTCTGGCTGCATTTTTGGTGCGTTGGCTGGGAAGTGAGTCTTGGATAGCGGACGGTGGGAAAAAGTCTCTTAGGTAGTTTGCCTAGCCCTGTGGAGCATCCCTGCAGGGGGACTCCTGCTCGCTGGGGTGATGCATCCTGAGAGTGTTCCTGGGCAGGTATTTGCCTAGTGGAAAAGCCTCACCAGAGCAGAGCAGGGAGGCCCTGCAGTATGGATCCACCCAGTGACTGAACACCGAGGAGGAACAAGTATTTGGGGAAGTCTGGACCACTGAATTTGGTAAAATTGAACCCGGGAAAGTAGCCTCCCCCATTTTGGGTGGAAGCACGACCTGATCACCCATGGGTTCCAGATCGGCAGTTTTGATGGTAGCTCTCTCTGTAACCTTGGAAGCTTTTGCTTATGGTTTTGAATTGGAAGGAGAGCAATTGGATGTGTGTGTGTGTGTGTGTGTAGATGTGTCCAACCGAACTCATCAGTCATAAAAGGTGTTGGGCCCATTATGAAGGGCCTTATGCGCCCAGCAATTTGTAAGAATTAGAGACAGCCACATTAGGCTGAATGAAGAAGCATCTGGGCATTGTAAAAGGATTGAAGAATGTAAATCGGAGAGTGCTCTGTGCTGCGTCTTGCTAGGCAGGAACTGCTGTAAGTGAACTAACACTCTCCTAACTGTGGGAACTATTTCTTTGAAGTGTTAATATGGATCGCTCCCATAGCAAGCTCAGCCCTTTAGAAACCATGCTGAAAAATTAAAAGAAGGGATTTAGTGGGCATTATAAAGTAACTATGACACCAGAGAAATTAAGGGCTTTATGTAGGAAAGATTAGCCAGCATTTAGGGTAAGTTGGCCCCCAGAGGGGACCCTAGACAGGTCCCTTGTCTCCAAAGTAAGGCATGAGGTTATATACGGTGAACTAGAACACCTCAATTTCCATACCTAGACTCATGGCTGCAGTTAGTGTTAAACCCTCCGAAGTGGCTAAGAGAGAAGGCAGCAACTGTTTCAGTAGTCAGGGGACAAACTGCTAGAAACCACTATCCCCCTCAGCATCGAGAAATGCAGATTCTCAAGTCCAGGCAAATTCAGTGGCAGAAACGGGCAGGATTTGCATGCATGAATACTTCACTTATTGGAAGTAGCTAACCAGGTATTTGTAACCAAGAGGCAGTAAGCCAGAGGGAAAATCATAGCGAAAGGGAACATCAGGCTCAATGGAAGGCCAACTTGATAGCTGCTCTATGAGAAGAGTGCCCCCAAGAGCGTGGAAAAAGGGGGATTCCTGGAAAGCCCCACAGTCTGCCCGCCCATGCCTGCAATGCGATCAGGGTGCATTTTGTCAAGAAATAGGATATTGGAAGAAAAAATAATGTCCACAGTTAATGGGAGAACAGGGCTATCCTAAGCATGAGGATCCAGATAAAAGTGAAGGGGCTCTGTTCAGTCTAATGGAAGGGCCACTGTGTGATATAGCTGGCCTAGAATTAGAACCAGTACAATGCCATTTTAAAATGGGAAAACTGTTTCCATTCTCCTCACAATGACTGCCAGCCATGGCTTCTGTAAACTACTAAGATTACCTTGCAAAATGCAAAGAGAGGACAAGCTGCATACTTTCTCTTATCTGTAACTGCCAGAATTGCTGGCCTTTGTTTAGCAAAGTAAGCACCCCCAGATAATTCCATCCTGGCGCCAAGTAACCTAAAATTATGTGGACCCCACACCTGTCCAAATAATGTATAAACTAATGTTTATCTTGACCTCTGTAAACCACTTAGGTGGCAATCGGAATGACAAAAGTCCCCTGGCCCTTGGAATATCTGGAGCCCCCTCACCCTCGTCTCAGCCTAGGAGGTGATTGACAGCTTTCATTCCCATCTCCGCTCCTCACCCCCACTCCCAAGGTGGTTTTGTGGGTATAAAAAGGTCTTGTCACTCTTCTTTCTCTGCCACGGGTTGGAGAGATGTGAGTCCTCTGTGGTCACCGGCAATAAAACCCTGCAATTTGGCATACTTTTGTTCTGGTGTTGACTTTCTGTGCTAAGTTCAATGCAACAACTGGACTAAAAGAGAGGGGTCTGGACTCATATTCCCCCAAAGAGCCCACGGTCCAGATGACAGCCTTGTAACCAATGTTTTTAGAGCTATTAAGGTGTTAAGAGAGCAGACTTTCTTGTACTTAATGGACTGCCCCTGCCCCCCTTCTCTGGCAAAACCTGTTGTGCAAATCAAGGGCCACTATCCCATTCAACAAAAGAGATTCCCTGCAGCTAAAAATGCCTCAGGCAGGGGTCATCCAGGCTCTCATTGTCCCTTGGGAAGGAGGGTGGAAACTTCCTGGCCAGAAGCAGAGGACTGATATTATCACCTATGCAGGGTTTGCATGGCTTTACACCCAACTCATACACACAGTTGGGATTTTTGCCAGCAGGGTTTAGTTGGTTCACTTAATTGGACTTAAAGAATACCTCCTTAGCATTGGACTGGCCTCAGAGGGTCAAAAACTATTTGCATTTCAATGGGAGAAACCCAGAAACAGGTGTAACCACTCAATACACCTGGACCCAGCTTCCCAGGGGATCAGAAACTCTCTGATTATCCTTGGATCAGCATGTGACCACCCCCCAGAAGCTTCTTGCTTGCATGCTGCCCCTGTATGCTAATAACCTTCTATTGGGACACCCCACGGCAGTTGGGTGTGCAAACAAATGCCTTACTCCAGCTCCTGGAGGACTGTGGGTATAAAGTGTCTAAAAGGAAAGCCCAGATTTGCCAAAAAAGCAAATGCAATATCTGAGGCTCATCATCCAGAAGGGGGAACACAGCCTAGAAGCAAAGAGGAAGCAAGTCACTTGAGAGAGCTCCTGGGAGTGGTGGGTTTTGTAAATTGTGGATTTCCAAACTTCACAGTACTAACCAAACTCCACTATGATGTGACAAAGTTGGGAGACAAGGAACTCTTTGAATGGAGATCCTAGCAGCGTCAGGCCTATCAGGAACTGAAAACGAAACTAATGTCAGCTCCAGCTTTGGGGCTGCCTGATTTAATGAAGTTCTTCACATTATATGTGGCAGAAAGAGAAAAAGTGGCAGTTGGGGTCCTAGTCCAAACAGTAGGACCTTGGCCCAGGGCTGTAGCTTACCTCTCCAAGCAGCTGGATGGAGTTTCCAAAGGATGGCCCCCATGCTTAAGGGCCCTGGCGGCAACTACTCTGCTAGCACAAGAAGCAGTTAAGCTAACTCTGGGGCAGAAATTAAATATCAAGGCACCTCATGGGGTAGTGACTCTAATGAATATCAGAGGGCACCACTGGTTATCAAATGTTAGGCTGACCAAATGAAAGGGCCTGCTATGTGAAAATCCCTGCACCACCATTGAAGTCTGCAACACCTTAAACCCCGCCACTTTGCTCCCAATGTCAGAGGGTCTGGTTGAACACAACTGTGTTGAAGTCTTGGACATAGTCTATTCCAGCAGGCCTGATCTTTGGGATCAGCCATGGACAGTGGTAGACTGGGAGTTGTATGTGGATGGGAACAGCTTAGTCAATCCAAGAGCGGAAAGACATGCAGGCTACGCCATGGTCACTCTGGACACTGTAAATGAGGCCAGATCCCTGCCTCAGGGCACCTCGGCTTAGAAGGCTGAACTCATTGCTTTAACTCAAGCCTTAGAGCTGAGTAAAGATAAGGTTGTAAACATTTATGCTGACTCTCAATATGCCTTCCTGACTCTCCAAGTACATGGAGCACTGTACAAAGAGAGAGAGGCCTGTTAACTTCAGGGCGAAAAGAAATAAAGTAGCAGCATGAAATTTTGCAGCTGCTAGAAGCAGTCTGGAAGCCCCAGAGGGTGGTGGCCGTGCATTGCTGAGGACATCAGTGGGAACATCTATGGCCCTGGGAAATCCCTGAGTGGATTCAACAGCTCATAAGGCAGCATCTGCCCCCTACTGAATAACAGTTATAGCCCCGCTGATTCCCCAGACCCTTGATCTAATACCTACTTACTCTAAGGAGGAAAGAGACTTTCTCCAGACAGAAGGGGGCAACTGATTAAAGCTGCTTCACCAGGTTTAAAGAGAAAACCCCTGTCTCTACGCCTCCATTCCCAGGGCGAGCTCACTCTCTGGCATCAAGTTTCCCGTGGTGAGTCTCCATGTACAAGAGAGGGGGAAGAGGTAAGGAATGGGAGGCTGGGAGTCCAGTCCAGGGTCAGGAATTCCAGGAGGAAAAGTGATGGGCACAGCCTTGGAGTCTCTGCCTCTCCCTGGTTTCCATAGACAGATCCTTGGTCAGGACTCATGCAATCAGTGTGACAAAGAGGCTCGTGAGGGATCCCGACAAAGTCCCAGCTCCTAGGCGTGGGTCTCAGGGTGTCAGGCTCCAAGGGCTGCGTCTGCTTTGGGGAGGTGCAGCGTTGTGGATTCCCCACTTCCATGTGTTTCACTACTTCTCCCAACCTGTGTCGGTCCTTCTTCCAGGATATTCACCAGGCGACCCCAGTTCCCACTCCCATTGGGTATCGGGTTTCTAGAGAAGACAATCCCCACGTACTCACCGGGACTTGGATTCTCCCCAGACACTGAGGCTGGGGTCGTGGTGCCCCGAACACTCCTCCTACTGCTCTCGGGGACCCTGGACCTGACCGAGACCAGGGCGGGTGAGTGCGGGGTTGGGAGGGAAATGGCCTCTGCTGGGAGGAGCCAGGGGCCCGCCTGGCGGGGCCTCAGGGGTGCCGGGAGGAGGGTCGGGCGGGTGTCAGCCTCTCCTTGTCCCCAGGCTCCTCACTCCCTGAGGTATTTCGGCACTGCCTTGTCACGGCCCGGCTACGGGGAGCCCCGCTTCATCGCCGTGGGCTACGTGGACGACACGCAGTTCGTGGGGGGACTCGCGAGAGTCCGAGGATGGAGCCGCGGGCGCCGTGGGTAGAGCAGGAGGGGCAGGAGTATTGGGACCGGGAGACGCGGAGAGCCATGGCCAAGGCACAGACTTTCCGAGGGAACCTGCGGATCCTGCGCGGCTACTACAACCAGAGCAACTACAACCACAGCGAGGCCGGTGAGCGACCCCTCCCATCCCCACGGACAGCCCGGGTCCCCCAGAGTCTCCGGGTCCGAGGTCCACCCCGGGGCTGCGGGACCCGCCCAGATCCTCGACCCAGGAGAGCTCCAGGCGCCTTTACCCGGTTTCATTTTCAGTTTAGGCCAAATTGCCCGCGGGTTGGTCCGATCGGGGGCGGTGCTTGGTGGGCGCGGCTGACCTCGGGGGCCGGCCAGGGCCTCATACCATCCAGTGGATGATTGGCTGCGATGTGGGGCCGGATGGGAGCTTCCTCCTCGGGTATCTCCAGTTCGCCTACAACGACAAAAATTACATCTCTATGAACTAGGACCTGCGCTCCGGAGCCGTGGTGTCCGCGGCTTACACCTGTAATCCCAGCACTTTGGGAGGCCGAGGCAGGCAGATCACAAGGTCAGGAGATCAAGACCATCCTGGCCAACATGGGGAAACCCCATTTCTACTAAAAAATACAAAAATTAGCTGGGCGTAGTGGCGTGCACCTGTAGTAACAGCTACTTGGGAGGCTGAGGCAGGAGAATTGCTTGAACGTGGGAGGCAGAGTTTGCAGTGAGCGGAGATCGCACCACTGCACTCCAGCCTGGCTCCTGGAAATAGAGAGAGACTCTGTCTCAAAAAAAAAAAAAAAAAGTCAGAATTGAGAGGAATGGCCTGCGGCCCACAGGGAGTGGCTATAATGAGGGGAGTGAAACCCTAATCTGATGAAAGCTTAGGGGGCTTAAGGCAGAAGGAGACTTTTGCACACTGATTTTGTATCCTGAGACTTTACTGGAGTTATTTCTTAGCTTAAGAAGCTTTTCTGCTGAGACAATTGGGTTTTCTAGATATAGGATCGTGCCATTTGCAAACAAAAACAATTGGACTTTTTCTCTTCCTGTTTGAATATCCTTTTTTTCTCTTACCTGATTGCACTGGCCAGAATTTCTAATACTATGTTGAATAGGAGTGATGAGAGAGGGCATCTTTGTCTTGTGCTAGTGTTAAAGGGGAATGCTCCCAGCTTTTGCCCATTCAGTATGATATTGGTTATGGGCTTGCCATAGCTGGCTTTTATTGTTTTGAGGTATGTTTCTTCAATACCTAATTTACTGAGAGTTTAAAAATATGGCATGCTTCAAAAATTTGTGTGTCACCTTTGTGCAGGGAACATGCTGATCTTCCCTGCATTGTTCCATTTTTTATCTGTGTGCTGCCAAAGCGAGCACTGATCACAAGTTATTAAAAGTGGAGATAACTGAAGAAATGTGGGTGAGAGGGAGTGTGGATTTCATCTGCAGTAGTTTCTGCATCTAGTGAAATGTAATTGTCTCTGTCTTTTATTCTTTCATTAAGTGGTAAGTTGCATTACAGAGTTAAAGTTTAAATATTCTTGTATTCTTGGGATTCATAACCTGGGCAGGATATTTAATTTGCTTATAGCTCATTGGTGAACACAGTCTACTACCATTTATCTCAGTATTTTTGCATCTAGTTGCTTAGAAGTGATTATCCTATCATGGTTTTCTCTTATGTTTCCCTAGCTGGCTTTAGAATCTATGTGATTTATGCATAAACAATAATGAGTTCACTCACTTTCTCCACGTTTCCTCATTCTCTTGAATATTATGTATAAGTTCAGTAACCTTCTTCTAAGTTTTGGCAGAACTTATCTGTAAAACATTCTGGATATGCCTGAGGGGAAATAAAGTTCTACAACCATTTTAACTTCTTTACTTGTAGTAAGTTCTTCCCATTAACGTAATCTTGTTCATAGTTTCACAATTATTTTAACCTGTACTATATCTTTAGTGGCATATTTATCTGTCATAATGCTGTTTGATTCTTAATTATCATTGCCTGATTTATTTTTTCATCCAAAGACACAGCTGCTTTTGGCACGCTGGGCCCTCAACAGTGGCAGCTGCCAGGTCATCCTTGGTGAGTGTTGACTCAATTGCTGTGCCCATGCAGTGTCCATCCCAGCCATCATGGCCATTTTGTGTAGAGACTCCATGAGCAAGCCCTCTGTGGCTGAGTGGCCTCATCCATCAAGCCATCTCGCCCACCTTATTACAGGGAGCTCCACCCTGTAAAGACCCTCTGGTAGGCATCCACATACAAGCACTATCTTCACACACTCTGCCTATAGCAGGAGGTCTATGTGTACCTCTCTCCTCCACCTCCCAATTTTTCAACTCTGTTTTCTTCAAGTTGGTGACTGGCCAGCCAAGCTATGAGCTACTGCCCATGACTCATTCATTCATGCACTACTGGGGCATCATTTCACATCCTCCACCTTTCATGGGACTGTTTGGATTTTGATTCCTAGTTCTTGGCTCCACAGCCATTACAAAAGCTATTCTGGTGTCAGCACCCAAGCCTATTGCTCTTGTTGTAGATTCTCCTCTTTATATGTATTTATTTCCTGGAATGAAAAAAAATGCAGCAATTTTTTTCAATGCAGCATTTCCAAGTAGAAGTGATTCTTCTTACTGTAGAAGTGATTCTTCTTACTGTAGATAGAATTGCTTGAAAACACCAGAAATGTATATCTGAGTGAAGGACAGCATGCATGGAGAAAAGGGGACAATCCACAAGCGGGCAGTGGATTTTCATTAAGTGAACACTCAGGCAAACAACACCCATATCAAAGTACAGCAGTCACAGCCTCCTGGAAACACCTTTGGGACCTACTCTGTCATGAACCACCCTCCCCCATTCTAGAGTAGACACTCTTGATTTTTCAGCTCCATCAAGTCATTTATGTTCTTTATACTGATTATTCTAGTTAGCATTTTGTCTAACCTTTTCTCAAGGTTCTTAGTTTCCTTGCATTGGGTTAGAACATGCTCCTTTGGCTAGGAAAATTTGTTATTATCCACCTTCTGACGCCTGCTTCTGTCAATTCATGAAACTCATTCTCCATCCAGTTTTGTTCCCTTGCTGTTGAGAAATTGTGATCCCTTGGAGGAGAAGAGGTGTTCTGGGTTTTGACGATTTCAGCCTTTTTGTCCTGGTTTCTTCCCATCTTTGTGGATTTATCTACCTTTGGTCTTTGAAACTGGTGACTTTTGGATGGGGTCTCTGAGTGGATGTCCTTTCTGTTGATTTGAAGCTATTTCTTTCTGTTTTTTAGTATTCCTTCTAACAATCAGGCCCCTCTGCTTCAGGCCTGCTGGAGTTTGCTGGAGGTCCACTCCAGACCCTGCTTGCCTGGGAATTACCCGTAAGGGCTGCAGAACAGCAAAGATTGCTGCCTGTTCCTTCTTCTGGTAGCTTCGTCTCAGAAGGGTACCTGCCAGATGTCAGCCAGAGCTCTCCTGCATAACGTGTCTCCTGGTCAGGATAAATGGGGGTCAGGGAACCACATGAGGAAGCAGTCTGTCCCTTATCAGAGCTCAAGTGCTGTGCTGGGAGATCTGTTGCTCCCTTCAGAGCTGCTGGACAGGGACATTTAAGTCTGCTGAAGCAGAACCTACAACCACCCTTTCCCCAGGTGCTCTGTTCCAGGAAGGTAGGAGCTTTTTTAAATAGGTCCCTGATGGGCTACTGCTTTTTTTCAGAGATGCCCTGCCCAGCAAGAAGGGGGTCTAGTCACTGTCTGCCTGCAGAGGCGCTGCTGAGCTGCTGTGGGCTCTGCCCAGTTGCTATGTAAACTTCCCAGGGGCGTTGTTTACACAGGTGAGGTTAAAACCACCTACCTGAGCCTCAGCAATGGGGGACACCCCTTCCCCCCACGGAGCTCATGTCCCAGGTTGAGCTCACACTGCTGTGCTGGCTGTGAGGATTTCAGGCCAGTGGATCTTAGCTTGCTGGTCTTCCTGGGGGTGGGACCCACTGAGCCAGATCACTTGGCTCCCTGGCTTCAGCTCCCTTTTCTTCAGGGGAATGAGCGGTTCTGTCTAACTGGAGTTCCAGGTGCCGTGGGAGTATGAGAAAAAAAAAGAAAACTGCTGTGGCTAAGACAGCCACCCAGTTTTGTGCTGGAAACCCAGGAAGCTGGTGTTGTAGGAACCAGAAGGAATCTCCTGGTCTGCAGGTTGTGAAGACTGTGGGAAAAGTGCAGTATATGAGCCAGAGTGCTAGAGTGTCCAAAAAGTCCCTAATGGCTTCCATTGACTAGGAGAGGGAGTTCTCCAACCCCTTGGCTTCCTGGGTGAGTTGATACCCCACCCTGCCTCAGTAGCCCTCCTTGGGCTGCACCCACTATCTAACCAGCCCCACTGAAATGAACCTGACCTCAATTAGAAATGTGGGGATCGCTTGCCTTCTGGCTTGCTCTTGCTGGGAACTGCAAACCAGAGCTGTTCCTATCAGGCCATCTTGGCAGAAGTCCACTCTTGATTCTTAACACAGATTAGTTCTGCCAGCTCTAGTTGAATGGCGTTATGTAGTCACCATCTTGTCCCTGGGTCTCATGGTCTTGACGTGCATGGTCGTAGCCTATTCACTCCCATGGCTGTCCAACACTCCACTTTATAATAGCTCACACTTCTCATTCCTTTACTATTGATAGACAATTGTTTTGTATCCAGATTTTACAAACCGTGCTGGTATGAATAATATTATTATGTATTTTGGCACACATACATTCATTTTTATTGGTTTATAACTGAGAGTGCAAGTGGTAGGTCATA